CGTCTTACTTTAAATTTGACAAACGTCCAAAATATGTCAAACTCCATACGAAAAGCACCAGTTATGTTATAGTTACGGTCAAGGTTAGGTGGTGTAACTCAGCCGAACTCTAACTTTGTCTAGGATGGAACGAGGAAAAAATGGCCAAGAAAATGAATTCATACGAGTACCTACCTAATAAATGTTTATTTTCCTAGTGCCCATGCTGATATTTCAGTTATGTGCTAAATCCAATGCGGAATTGCCATTACAATTCAGCTTTTATTTCCTTTCTTGCCTTTGATTCTTGACTCTTGATCTCAAGCTTACCTTTCATAATAATATAGGACACAGTCAAGACTATAGTACAGTAGAATAGATATCTACAGACACACACAAACCATTTGGTCCCTCTAAAGTAAGGGAAAAACATCGTGAGGAAATCTACACACTGGTTGGAAATACGACTGAATACACTAGAAACTACATTAATTTAGCTGAAGCTATAGCAGAAGTAATAATAGAAATCCGAACTCAAAATTATTTTTTCATATTTTTTAGGGATAGTACATTAGTAGAGCTACCTCCCCTATCAGTTTGATTCACCCATTCTGGGACACCCTGTATTTTAGACATTTTAAAATGGCCACAACCCCAGGTTGTAAAAATATTAGAAATCAGATATTAAAATTAAGGCTTATCTACTGCATCCATCTATACTATGTCCAGTGCAGTGCAATAATCCCGTAGAAAGTTTTAACAGCCCCATTTTATTCAAAACGCCTGTTGCTGTAAACAGTGAGTGCACTTTATATGTAGATGGTCGCTCATTGCGGGCAGATTGCGTTTGCCATTGTTATTCTGAAGTGCCTTTTACATTTACATTTCTGATTCATCGAGTGATTAGATTAATGTATCTGAATTTTTAAAAACCCTGGTTGAAAGATAGATAGCTTTATTAACAATGTGAATTAAAACAACAAAAAGTGGGGCAATTATTCAGAGTACCTATGACGTATTTTAGTAAAAACTTTATTTTTAATTAATGTTTTATAAAAAAAACTGTAAACTCACTGATATGAGGAAATTAAGTTTTCGGTAATACCAAGTTAATATAAAACAGGTTCATTTCAGAGACCTCTAACGCCATCTAGCAAGCGACTAATATACTATCACGCGAAAAGCAGTGGAAAGCTTGGGAAAACCCTACTTCTCTTGTTTTAGTTTGTAATTCCATCACTACGTGCGGATGTGGTGGGTTGAGTATTAATCAAGGAACTAGGAATTAAAGTAACTAATGACTAATAGTTATTAAGTGCAGGATCATTTTAAAAAGCTAAGGCGAGGTTTACATCATATAAGATAAGGTTTATCCTAAAATAGTTGAACCATTTTGACATGATTGTCTTTTGTTTATTGCGAAACGCCGTTAGAGAAAAACATTACATACCTACTCATAATTTAGATGGAAATACCAACATATCTAGGTAATAATTTATTTGATTTTAATCAATATTCCACTTTATGAGTAATTTATTTATGTTAATCATCTACTAAACATACATTAAATTTTAAGGAAAAACCATACTTGTTTTAAAAACACTTTATATTTTCTTGGAAATAATTTATTTATTTCGCATTCGCAGAAGATGTAGCTATTGATTTTTATTTACGTATACGATAACGCCAAGTTCAACAGTCGCATACGACATTAAACGACTATTTACGAAGAATTGTACCTTTTAACCTACTGATAAGACCTTATTTACTCTGATAATGTACTGCGAATATTATAGACATTTGTATATAATTATGCGTTGACATTTTTATGTTTAGTTCGTTAATCAGTGTTTGTAGTGGTAAGTTCTGTGACNTTTACTTAATACCTGAGACTATTATGCCCGTTTTCACCATTATTCCCTAAATGTTAAGTAACCCCTATGAAAACAAAATCCCGGATTGATGGTGAAAACGGGCATCAGTCTCTCATATAAGAATATAAATTTAAATGGTAGGTACCACAATTTTACATTTTGGTCCACTGGCGTAAATATAATATCTGTTTATCATTAGCATCTATTGTTTTACGAGCATTAATCATCATCATTTCAGCCATAGGACGTCCACAGCTGAACATAGGCCTCCCCCAATGATTTCCATATTGATCGGTTCATCCTGCGTCCAGCGCCTTCCTGCTACCTTTATTATGTCGTCGGTCCACCTTGTGGGTAGACGTCCCACGCTGCGTTTTCCGGTACGCGGACTCCATTCCAGAACCTCGCTGCCCCATTACGAGTATTATTAATTAATAACTGCATTGAAGTAAAATTACTATAAGTAAAGCCGTTTTATTCTGATGTGCGTAATAATCAACAATAATTTCAAAATCATATTATTATTATTAATTTTCTCCCTAAACATGAAGCAGATGGTAGCCTTTGCAAAAACTACTACATTGTTTCAGAGACGGTCTAGATGGATGACTTTTTATTAAGTCCCGTGTTTTTGTCAGCTCCACATAAAAACAATGATTTATACGTTGCTGTGTTTTCTGATTAAAGAAAAAACTACTAAATCCCTAACTTAGCTGACCTAAACTCAAAATGTAGAGTTTTTGGTAACCGTAAATTGTATTTGTTTTTTGTCAAATTCTACCTTATTAAAAATGACATAGAGAGTTTAGGAAACAACGTTAAATACGAATCCTACTAGGAAGGGCTAAGTTTTTTTAAAGTATTTGTAAAATAAAAGTGAATAGGTCTCTAACTCTAACTTTGTAACATCACTTTGTCTAGTGTCAGTAGGTAATGAAGGAACGTGGAAAAAGGTGGTTAAGAAAATAGTCATACGAGTACCTAATTAATGTTTATTTTTCTAGTACTCATGCTAAATATATCAGTTGTGCGCTAAATCCAATGCGGAATTGCCATTACTATTCAACTTTAATTTCCTTCCTTGCCTTTGATTCCCGACTCTTGATCTCAAGCTAGCCTTTCATGGTACTATTGGACACAGTCAAGAATGGCATAATTTAGTAGAATAGGTCCAAACAGCCTCCTTCCGGATGGCTACCCTAAAGTGAGGGAAAACACACTAGTTGGAAATCCGGCTGAATGGACTAAAAACTATGAAAGAAATATGTTTATTTAGTACTTACTTAGCTAGGTTAGTTTATATTTAATAGCAATTTTGCTGGAGTTATTATATTTTTATAGCCAAGGTAATTTTTCACAGCAAGTTTTCACGTGTTTTCATACAAGTGCATATCTAGAATTGCCTGAGATAATGAGGGTAAACTAACTTAGCTCAGTTTTTAGTCTGCAACCGTAAATATAAAATAACTACTAACAGTTTTTCTACTTATTTATTGCATCTAGATATTTCAAATAGTCACGATCGCAGGCAAGAATTGTTAGAAATTAGATCAATCTACTGTATCCATCTATACTATGTCCAGTGCAGTGCAATAATCCCGCAGAAAGTTTTAACAGCCCCATTTTATTCAAAACGCCTGTTGCAGTAAACAGTGAGTGCACTTTATATGTAGATGGTCGCTCATTGCGGGCAGATTGCGTTTGCCATTGTTATTCTGAAGTGCCCTTTACATTTACATTTCTGATTCATCGAGTGATTAGATTAATGTATCTGAATTTAGAAAAACCCTGGTGGAAAGATAGATAGCTTTATTAACAACTAGCTTTCCGCCCGCGGCTTCGCCCGCGTGGACACCGAAAAACCCAAATATTTTACGGAACCCTATTTTTTTCCAAAATAAAATTTAGCCTATGTTACTCGTGGATAATGTAGCTTTCGAATGGTGAAAGAATTTTTAAAAACGGTCCAGTAGCTTTTGAGCCTATTCTCCTCTTTATAATATTAGTGAAGATATTGTGAATTAAAACAACTGTAGGTCAAATATGACGAATAACTATTGCGTATTTTAGTAAGATAAACTTTGTTTTAATAATGGTTTAATTAAAAAAAATACTCATTATGAAAAAAATAGTTTTTCAATATTATACCAAGATAATAGACATGTTGACACCACCACTCAATTGGCGTACTTTTTAAAACTGTCAAAACGAAACTCTCCCATAGATTTTGTATGGCATTACAAGCAAGTGACGTCACTATTTTGTCAACTCAATCATACTACTTTTTTCAATTACAATGCGAACAAAAATCGTAGTTTACAGGTAATTTAAAATGAATTAAGTTTTTAAGACCATAATGAAGGGTCTTTTTAAAACAGTTGTGGTTTCGATTTATTGGGGTATGGTGTCAAACTGTCTATTATGAAACAGATTCATTTCAGATACCTCTAACGCCATCTAGCAAGCGACTAATATACTATCACGCGAAAAGCAGTGCAAAGCTTGGGAAAACCCTACTTCTCTTGTTTTAGTTTGTAATTCCATCACTAGGTACGTGTGGATGTGGTGGGTTGAGTATTTTAATCAAGGAACTAGGAATTAAAGTAACTAATGACTAATAGTTATTAAGTGCTGTATCATTTTAAAAAGCTAAGGCGAGGTTTACATCATATAAGATAAGGTTTATCCTAAAATACTTGAACCATTTTGATATGATTGTCTTTTGTTTATTGCGAAACGCCGTTAGAGAAAAACATTAGGTACATACCTACTCATAATTTAGATGGAAATACCAACATATCTAGGTAATAATTTATTTGATTTTAATCAATATTCCACGTTATGAGTAATTTATTTATGTTAATCATCTACTAAACATACATTAAATTTTAAGGAAAAACCATACTTGTTTTACAAACACTTTATATTTTCTTGGAAATAATTTATTTATTTCGCATTCGCAGAAGATGTAGCTATTGATTCTTATTTACGTATACGATAACGCCAAGTTCAACAGTCGCATACGACATTAAACGACTATTTACGAAGAATTGTACCTTTTAACCTACTGATAAGACCTTATTTACTCTGATAATGTGATGCGAATATTATAGACATTTGTATATAATTATGCGTTGACATTTTTATGTTTACTTCGTTAATCAGTGTTTGTAGTGGCAAGTTCTGTGACTGAAGAAGTTAAAATGCAGAAATTAACGTGTTTAATTGTTGTTTTCGTGGCTGTGAGTCAATATTGTAACAAAAATTTATAGTCATATAAATTAACCCCAATTTTAAAGTATAATAATAAAGTGTATTATTTATTTTGTAGGCAGCAACAGCTGATCTTTTGTATCAAGATCGAAGTAGAGGCGCGACTTTGGTAAATATTTTCGTCCATCTTTAATCATAAAAACAAAAGCTATTACAAATAATTTTTGAAGTGCATATCTTTCAGAAACCCATATCAGCGTGCTGTGATATCCCAGAACTTGGAGACAGTAAACCATTGACGGAATGCTCTAACCCAAAGTTAGCCGGTCCAGTAAGTTTTTAACCTCCATAGGTTTACTTAATCAGAAATTAAAGTCCTTACTAAAAAAAATTAAGTTCAACTTTGAAACTAAATACATCCGAGTGATGCCATAAACATAAAAAGTAACTTCTTCCAGTGCAACGACGTCCACTGTGTGTTTGAAAAGTCCGGTTTCCTAGTGGACAAGAACACGCTAAACAAGGACGCCTATAGAAACCACCTGAGACAGTGGTCAGAGAACCACCCTGGATGGTCGGAGGCCATCGAGAGAGCCATCACCGACTGCGTGGATAAAGACCTGAGGCAGTACCTTGACTACCCCTGCAGGGCCTATGATGTGTTTACATGCACTGGGATTGCTATGCTGAAGGTTAGTATTCGTTCGTTTCAACCAAATGACGTCCACTGCTGGACAAAGGCCTCCGCCGAGGTTTTCAACAATGAACGGTTCTGCGCTGCCCGCATGCAGGCTCCAGCCCAACCTCACCAGATTGTCGGTCCACCTAATAGGAGGCCTTTCCACGCTACGACTTCCAGCCCGTGGTCACCACTCGAGAACTTTTCTGCCTCAACGGCCATCGTCTCTACGAGCTATGTGTCCCGCCCACTGCCACTTGATTTTAGCTATGTCTGTATTGTACAGGTTACATATTTCTCCAATTAGCTTGGTAATTTCTAGATTTATAGCATGATAATAATAAATGCAAACGAAGACAGTTGCATCTTCAGGGAAAACTCGCTCCGCTGTAGATTGCATCTGCATCTCACGGTTGAATTTTTTATCAAGAGCAATCCCAACATTAGTAGGAATTCTGTAAAATTACTTTTAAAATATTCACTGCAATGAGATTTAAATAATACAGAATACTAAATTGCATCCTGTCAGACTTTGAAGATAAAACAAAAACTAAGCCAGAATATGTGGTGATCTTTTAGAACTTTTCTTCAAATATTTTAAGCTGACATTACTTAATTAAGAAATGCCTATGCTGGTCACTTCACAGTCACTTCCTTTAACGAATTTTATGTCAACGCCCTAATATTACAACAATGAAAAAACATGGAAAATGATACTGTTGTTAGGTAGCAAAATTATCTTTATAATAAAAAGTTTGAAAAGGTGAATCATGCGCACAGTGTTCATGTTCGTGTAACCAGTGTGAATAATATGTGCATGGTCATTTTGTAGGAAGCAATTACGTCGTATTGGTTGCGACAATTGAAATTTTGATGTTAGTCTGCTAATGTTATATTTTATTTATTTAATAACCTATTCAGAGTGATGATGTAGACGACAAATTGTAGGATTAGTCATGTTCCAAAACGACACCGTCCGTTTACAATTATTGTCATCGGTAAATTATTTGATGGTACGCGAAGATACTTAGATACATGAAAGGATGAGAATTTGCTTGTAGCATTTCTGAAAGTTTATGAACATGACGTCACTATTAGATTAAAATGCAATTTACTGTTTCGATTACGTCATTTTCACATAAAAACTACAATAAAATTGAAACAGTAGGTCCAATACATTGATAATGCACATAATGAAGATTTCGAGCTACCACATAATAGCCCACCACCAGTTCAAATTTTTGGTTATGCTGCCCATTTTGTTCCTCTGATTGGTTTAATAGTCGAATAGCAAAAACTAAAGGAACAAAACCTTCAGTGTAAAATTATAACCAAAAAATATCTGTCTATGAACAAACGAGTCTGAATATTGAACATTGTCTTTTGTTCATTTTAACTTGCTATGCCCTGATCATCAATAACCGTTTTAATTCTGCGAATGAATCTTCTGAATCCACCTCCACTCTTCAAATACGATCAAGAAAGACATTAAAAAGTAATTACAGTTCACCCCTTCACCCTCCACTGGACTAGACTACTAATTATCTTTAAGAGTACTGTTACACGCCTTGATAATGTCATTAAATTAACACTCTAGTCATTTTTCCTTTTGAAATATTTCTCAAACAGCAATTACATTTGACATCATATTACAATATTATATATTTTTTAATAAAATTTAATATTTTTAATAAAATATAATAAAACTTATTACGACGCCCTATCGTAACAATGATGTTCCTGAAAATTATGATCATCAGTAGGTATATCTTCAATCTCTTATACTTTGTATTAAATTTTGTTTTTCTTTTCAGAAATGTCCAAAAGATGCGTGGAAATGCTGATGGAAGAGAAAAATATTCATTTTGGTCATCTTTATAATTTATGGCTTCATGCATACCCATTTAGTATGTCTAATAAAATAAAATAAAAATTCAGTTTTCATTGTAAACATGTGTGTAATAATTATGACTACAAATACATGTGATTAAATTAGACCGTCCATTGCTGCACAAGGGTCTCCCCTAAGGGCTTGCTCCCACGGAGACACTCCGTTTTTTGCAGGCTCCCGTTTGCAGTGTCCACGAACATCCCTGTTTGCAGTGTCCGGTTTTGCGCTGCATCTAAAGTAAATGTACAGTACATTACATCATTTATTAACAGAATACAACCCACATTATCATAGCAAGCCACGAGTTATGCACATGAGTGCACCAGCAGTTCATTGTCCCCAGTGCGTGTAATTGGTGAGTGGCCCAAGGTCTGAGAGCCCCTTGACACTGATTCGCTGCCTTGAGGACGTCCGACACACTCGGCTCATTATATGGATAATTACCTGTTAATTGACTGCTCGATCGGCCGTTGAAGAGGGCTTAGGAGCATTATAGAGAAAGTTGCGTGGAGGAGAAAATTGAAGCGACTTATTTTAAGACTTATTTTAATGATTCGCTTTTTTAAAGGAATCATACGGCAGTTAAATATACTCTTAGATTCGTACTACTAAACCTGAAAACTAGCAAAAAAAACTCAAACTTTCAAGAAATAAACAAAAAATACATAATCAATCAAAGGTACATTAAGAAAACAAATTATTAAATTATGTTATCATAATCATTATTTCCACTGCTGAACATAGGCCTCCCGTTATCCCGTAATGATTTCCAGATTGGCCGGTTGACAGCAAACTGCATATAACGCCTTCCTGCAATCTATACTAATATTATAAAGCTGAATGTTCCATAAAACCCATGTTCGCAAAATAAATATATTTGATTTGATTTAATTTGATTTGAAGAGTTTGTTTACTTTAACGCTCTATATAATCATAGGAACTACCGGTCCGATTTGTAATATTCTTTCAGAACACTGAAACATCTATCTATAATCTATATGGGCTATCTAACAAGATAGCCCATTTATTGAGGAAGGCTATAGGCTATATACCATCGCGCTACGAGTAATAGGTGCAGAGCAAAAATGATTTTCACGCGTACGAAGTCGCGGGCACTGCTAGTCTTTATAATAATTATAATATTTATTATGTATACTTTGTATTGTCACAATGTTAGTAATATGGTATTTGACCTAGTGATTGTTCCCTGCACCTGCATCTTCTATTATGTTTTATCTCGTATTTTTATTTACAAACAATAATAATATGTTGAGATAGATGAAGGTCATCAAAGCACTCCATTGCATATACATACATAGGTAGTTAGTTTATAGTTGTCATGAGATAAGACTGAAGATAGCAAAATAATAAAACCAATTTGCACTCAACCTAGCACTTGAACAAAGGGTAATTTGATATGTAATTATTTCTGTATAAGACGCAGTAAGAAAATCATCTAAATTGAGATCTAAATTAAAATCAGCAGCAATCTACAAGCAAAGTACGCTTTAATGTTTGATGACAATAATCTATATAAGAAAGAAATTATGATAATATCTCAAGAATTAAAAAATAATCTAGGAAAAGGAGAGGAGAGAATACTCTCTGATAGAGGTTTTTGATTTTAATTAATCAGATAAACCAGTTACTGAAAATAGACAGTTGACTAAAGAAAGAAACAGAAAGATAGAAAGTAGGTAAGTCAATTAATCATTCATCTCCGTAATTACCTAAATGGTTAATTTTATTGAAGACACAAACCTCTAAGGGTGGCCTTAAAAGCACTAACAACATTGACATTGAAGTCATGTTTAACTTTTAGAGATCCAATTGGTTCTGCTGTTGAAAAATTTTTGAACATGAGATACAATGACTCTCTACACTCGAAGGAACCTCTCTCTCTCTCTTGGGTTTTTTACCTTCCAATTTCTGTTATCATTTTAAAATACAAACTCTTCTTATTTGCAAACAGCGTATTTTCCACTTTTTATCAAATAAAGCTCTTATAAAGCAAAATTAAGCATGACGTTCAATAGTTTAATCTAGCAGTACATTGACGTCACCTTCATTACCGTATGGCACCATGATAAAATTAAAGAGCCACTCATCGTTGTGGGTTTTTCACCTTTTTGATAGGGTATTGTGGTCAGTCGCAATGTAATTATACAAAAACTATAACGTTGAAGATTAACTGTGGGCAATCATGACACCTAAAGAGGATGCAGTGCTTATAACGAGCGATTTGCATTAGTCGCAATTTATGCAAAAAAATAGAACAGCTTCTGATTGTTAATGAAGTCTATACAGGGTGAGAAAATGGTGCATAAGTAATTGATATGTAGTAACTACTATAAGGACTACTCCCACCTCTGAGTACTGTGCAACCGGGATCTACAGCTTGACTCCTAACAAAGAAGACCGTTGGACCCACGACATTAATCAGAAGAAAATAGGAGGAGGTAAAAACTAAAATTTCTTCCCTCTTTCCAGTGCAAAGCAGATAACAGATGATAATATGCAAAAGTATTGTTATTGAGGAAGATTCCTGTAGGTATATATCGATCAGAGCTATCAAAGATTATGCGTGTACTTACTGCCTTGATTCCTTATAGCCCGTGGTCTCTTATGAAAGAATCTCTTCATATGAACCCCTGCAAAAGGAACTGCCTGTGGTACGTTCAGTAAGTGCTTAGGTATTTATTAAGGGCAGTGACCGGAGCTGTAGGACCAACGACTGTAAACATAATAATAACAATTGATGTGAGTCATATGCGATTCATGGGCAGGGAAGTTGTTAAATGTTTTCAGGTGCTACTCCGATAGTAAGTCTATTAAAATAAAATCACTCATATTCGCTGACAGCTTAATATTCAATTTAAGCTCGTAGTAAAGTTATATACATAGTAATTGTTTGATTTAGTGAGGCTAGTGTATTGACCCCAAGATCATTATGTTTTTACCAAATCTCAAGGTAATTTTCAGACTTCTTGAATTGATAATTTAACTGCAGGTTATCCCATTGAACCAGTAACAGTCAAATGCACAGACGCTGATAAAGGCAGACAAAGGGTTGACCTTTAGCTGCAGTCAAGAAAGTCGCCTTCAGATGAAGATAGGGGCTCAATGATATTCTACTATTTGCTACAGATTAAAATGGCCAATTTAGTCATATTTGTAATTTATAATGTTTTCTGCTATTCTATATTGGACTTTCAGTTAAGTCCTTGTTGTAGCACTGAATTTTACATTAATAAATGGCTTACTATCACAATATTGTACTGCGAGCATCTAACGCTCCAGTACTACCTCTTTTTACCTCTTTTTATTAATTTACAAAAAAATACAAAAATACAAAATATTTTATTTCATTACAAAATTACATTAAATAACATACAGGGTTTGGAGTTTCCTTTTAAGCATACAGTTGCTTGTGTTAGGAAACACCGTACTGCTCGTATTATACTTCGTCTAACATTTTTATTGTACTTTCTCGGCAGGATTCGAACCGCAACCACAAATGGTATTATAGTTAAATATTTAGGCTGAGTTGCACCACCTAAATTTAACCGTGACTTTAACAGTGTATTTTGTATGGAATTTGAAAGCTTTTTGACGTTTGTTAAAGTCAGAGTAAGATGGTGCAACCCAGCCACAATAATTATGAACCATCATGCCTGGCGAACGTCTAATGAATCGAATGATCAACTGAATAAAATGATGTATTTATAACGAATCAAAACACACGGTAAAAAAGGTACTTAGTTGTTTATTCTATCAAAGCCTAAGTAAATAAATAAATGAGTCATACCGTGGTCATTAATACTTGTATACCATGTAGTGTAACGGAAGTGGGTGTGCTAGTTTTTCATAGAACATAATTTGTTTGCGCTGAAACCTGCCAATTATCAGCTGGCAGTTCAGGTGTTTATGTGTGATCTTTTGATACCTGAGTACAGATGACAGCATATGAAGCTGTGGCATCTTATGACGTTGAAATAGGGTCTATTTTCCAACAAAAATGTATAGTCTGATGAGCTGTTGACTGTACTTACGAGTACCTGTTGACAGGTTTGGGTGGTAATTTAACTAAAATAGGTCAATTTGCCTTTAGTTAACCATGTAATATGTTATGGCTATGGTGATTTGCAAATGATATCAAAAATACAGGGTGAAAAATACAGATTGACTAGAACTTCAACTATGATTTAGTTTTAGACCATGCTTCTGAGTTGATAACCAAAGAAATCTTGAATTTGCAGTAATTTACAGTCAAAACAATCACTGATATCGAGACTTCCACATTACTTAAGAAAATTATTAACGTGTCAATTGCACCCTGTATGTACATGTAAATGATGTCTAAAATGAAAATTATCGTGATTACATAAAGTGCCTTTGCACTTTATAATCATGATGAATCTCTAAATGCTACAATTATTATTGCATATGAGATGACACAGGAAAAGAATGTCTTTTTTGTAGGAAATCTTTCAGAGTTGATTTAATGACAATTCAGGGTTAGAAAATTAATAAAAACAAAGCCTAGCCCTGTAAACAAACATTTGTAACCTTTATCTGAACATTATTGTGACGGATATTTTTTTAGAGCATTTAATACCAGTTAAAGGGTTTAATTGCTTTCTAAGTGTGCAATTTTAAATGTATTTAAAATAAAGTTTGTGTTCGTTGATTGGTGCCCCACTTTAATTTAGAACTAGACATGTATAACGTTAATTTTATTTACACGGAGGCTTTTTCAATCATACAACGGAATGGGGATAGACCAAATAACATTAAATTACTTAAATACCACTTACGGTATTAATTGCCTATGATTCCTAGCTATTCTCTTAATGAGTTACATAAATACCGCTATAGAGTCATAATAATTGATCCCTAGCTATTGTTTTAATTACATAATTCCTTTCTAATAACATATTTTCGATTTTCCATCAATTTCCTTGTCACTTCAATGCTTTTTCCGACGTCTTCTTGGCAATTACTTAGATTTCGAAACTAAAAAGTTAGCATTGTCCCTACTTCCTTCCTTTAGGCTTGATTGTTGTCACGGTCGCCACGGGGTATATAACCACTGTGATCTACG